ATTTTCTGATTACTTTTTATTATATTGTTAGTTTTCCTTTTTAAGTTTCAGTGAGTTTCCATAGCAGGTTGACTGGTTTCACTTTAGTTTTTATTAATTTCAGTGTTAGTTGTAGATTTTTAAAAAAAATCTGTAGAGATATTAAAATATAAACAGAACCTTTTGAATGCTGACTCAGTCTTGTAGACATCAAAAGCCTCAAAAAACATGATCATAAAAGCCTCATCAGGCAGTTTGTGATAGCAAATTTTAACAAATTAACAGATAACAAAACTAAGTATATTTCATCTATTATACATTTTATTTTAGTTTGTTTTTCCCATTCAAATCGCTTCTAGTTCTAGAAGGTCTAGTTTTTATTTTAGCTAACTAAAATGTTTTCTCACATTTAGTTTTACTTAACTATAATAACTTTGATGTGAACCCTATGCAAGGTGGGTGACAGTGGCCCAACCACTCTTGCCCAAAGATGCTAGCATCAAATAAAATACAAAATAAAGTACATTTACATTGCTTGACTTGAATAGTTAGTTCACCCCATCCCCAAAATACACGTTTTCTCACTTTTACTTGCCTTTTTATAGCCACTGAAAATTTAACTTCAGTGTTTACGCCTTTGACATAAGTTACATCTAACAAAGATACTTAAAGTGTAGCTACATAAAAAAGTTTAGCTCGGTGTTTTTGTGAATCTGCTTTTGTTTAAACGCATTACACCAAACATATTAAGCGTAGGGAGGCCCAGCAGCTGATACAACTTATGAGAAGTACAGTATGGGAACAACTCAAAGGCCCCACGGTTGCTGTGACAGAACGAGCGCATACATTTTTTAATGTAAAACCTAATAAAAACATAAAACGAGCTTCACAAACGGATGCAAACTGCTAAAAATCGGGGCTCGGTGAAGCTAACTAGCAGGCTAACCTCTTTGACAGGGGGGAATTTCTTCTTGCACTCCATGGAGAGAGACCGCAGATCCGTCTGCATGTTCTCTAGTAATTTCTTCACCGCCTCGGGACTGCTGGTCGACATCTTTGACGGCGCCTTTCGATAGAAAACCTCAGAAATACTTTAAACGTTGAAAGGAATGTGGGAGCGCGGTCGCCCCCCCACCACCCATCCACCGTGGGGGGATATAATCCGTCACTACTTTATTCGCCTCCCTCGGAAAAGGAAATAAAAACGCTGCGGTCCATTGATACGGGATCCCACTTCTGTGCTTCGAGCGCCCGTGCGCAGGTGAGCAGCGATGACACCGGCATAAGTCCGACCTCCTCACAGCCAGCTGACATTAGCTTCAAGGAGTCGCATCGTTACCCTAAATTTCTGCTTCTTACGGCTGCTTACTAGTCGAAGATATCTGCTAAATTGAGCAGTCTGCCATCAGCGGCCGTGTCAGCTCCACTTTCTTTCCCACAATGCTTCGCTGGACACTGACACGTCACTTGGACTTCCGTAAACAGTGGCGTATGCAGGTGACTGCAGCGACCCCTGCAGGAAGAGATCGGCACAGACAGATAGCCACGAAGCACACAGTAGTCTGATCTGGACCACGGTATCAGCGCTTCTGCTCGGTTACCTGTCCACACACACCACCTATTGGCCCGGAAAGAGGCTGCAGGAGGCTGTCTAGAAATGTCTTTGCAGTGCTTACAAAAACAAGAAAAAAAAGATTATTGACAATATCAACAATTTTATTATTTTAAGAAATACGTTTAACTGACTAATTAAGGTTCAATTTAACTGAATATAACCTAAAATGTTTAACTTGATTGTGCATTAATTCAGCAATTAAATAGACAAGCATTTGTGAGTAGTTTGTCTTGACATCAATGTAGTCACTGCATTTACTTAAATAAAGAAGCTATCGGTTCATGAATGGCACTTTTTAAACATAAATGTGCCTCCCAGTTAATTGTTATCACAAGATATAATGCATGAAAATGAATCGTGAGCATTATTCACCGTGTCTATTGTTTGTAAGATAAATAAAAAGAAAAATAAAGAAAAATATATCTACAGTCTACAGTCACCCAGAACTGCTTGTAAGTTTCCACTTAAAGCTGCACCAAGTTTCTGATTTTCTTTTCATCCAGGTTCAGATTTTTTTTATTTCCAAAATAAATATGTAAATTTTGGTCTTTGTTCTGCATCTCACATGGATCCCTTCACCGGCTGCTTTCAGTGCTGCCTTGCTAAGGAATGCAATTTTGTCTTTGGGGAGGTGGAGTGCAAAGTTTCACACCTTAGACTCATTTAACTGCCAAGAAAAGAGTGGAAAAACAACCCCAATATTATCAGAAGCACAGTAACAATCCTTTTACAATTGGAGTGGAATTATTACTTTCGAACATATTGGTTCTGTTAAACCAATCATTAACCAGATTAATTCAGTGTTTTCTGTATCAAAACAGCTTTAGAACACATTTACCTGGTGTTACACCAAGTAATTGACACCAAATAGCTTGGTGCTGCACTCCAGCCTGTACCTCACCTTTTCCAGTAACTCACACTTCTGACACTAAATGTCAAATTGTGACATTTTACTTCAGGACCACATGCCGAATCCTGTCAAAACACTAGAAGAGAATACCCCAAGCAATTCACTAATATTTCTGAGGATTTTCACCACTTTGAAGAAACGACAGAGGAAGTTTTTGTGTTAGTCATACCATCTCCTCAGGGTCACTGCCTATAAATACTTTCTTGTATAAGAGATTCTGATGTTTTGTTTTTGAGTTTGTTAAATGCCTGTCATTCTTTATACTGATGTAAGACAATGTCTTCTACTTTGAAGAGCCAAGGGCTAAAACTAAATTCATAAACCTCTACATTTTTATATGTGTACTATAAGACAGAAAATGATAAGAAACTACAACCGGGAGTGCATATGCATCTGCCTGGAATACCTGGTATGATGGCTGATACTGACTAACACTCCGGCGTTGTACATATATGCATCGATTTCTCATGCTGATGATGTGTAGCGGCATATGACATCTACAGTCATGGTAAAGAGAAAGTGCGCCCTTTTTCACTTCTAGGTTCACATACCAGGAGATTTAAAAATAAAATATCGTCCGACCTCTCCAGCCTTAAAATTAGCTAAATACCACCTGACATGAACAAAACATGATATATCACATGGTGTCATTAATATTTATTGATGAAAAACTAAGCCAAAAATGCAGAAACACAGTCCACATGAAAATTTAAGCACACCTTAATGGCTTTCAGAGGAATTAAGAGGTCATGTCAATCAAAGGCATTTGATTATGTGATCATCGGAGCATTCAGGTGTGTGCTACCATAATTCCACAGAGGGAAAACATCAAAAATTATCCCAGGCAACCAACTGTCGGTGCCCACCAGTCTGAGAAGGGTTATGAGGCCACTTCCAAATAGTCCATCATTCTATAGTGAGAAAGATTATTCACAAGTAGTAAATATAAAACAATAAAAGGATCATGACAATACAATCTACAAAAAAATACTGAACAAACAAATGAAGAGGGTGTGCTGAGAAGGTGGAAGGAGTACACTGAGGGGATGATTAATGAAGAAAATGAGGGGGAGGATAGAGGACTGTTTGTGAATCAGGAAGTGAAGAGGCTCAGTAAGGTAGGAGAGGGCAACTATGAGGTGGGAAAAGAGTGCAAAGGTAGTGTGTCCAGATGACAAACTTGTAGAAGTATGAATATGTCCTGAAGAGAGGGCAGTGGAGTTTTGACTAGATAGTTTAACACAGTGATGAAGAGTGAGCAGATGTCTGGGGAAAGGATAAGCAATTTTCAAAAAGAAGGGTGATGTGCAGTGCTGAGATAAAGCTGATGAGTCATACCATTATGATATGGGAAAGAATTGTTAAATCTGGGTTTAGAAGAGGGGCAACGATCAGTTAGGAGCATAAGTATATGAGGGTGGCACTGCATGAGAGGAGTGAGACATTGGTGAGGTGTGTGGTAGGAGTGATAGATGGGTTCATGGTTTAGTGAAGGAAGGCGAGCTAAATGACTTCCAAAGCAACACACAGTGCACAAGAGAGGTGAAGAAGAGAGTGCAGGCAAGGTGGAGCGGGCATAGACAGGTGTCAGGGGTGATGTTTAGAAACAGAAGTAGTGTCATATGTGTCATATGTAAATAATAATAATACAGAAATACAGTTTATACTGAGACTCACTTCACACAGCAGTCAGAGACATTCTAATATGACAAATAGCATAAAGTTATAAAAATGTAATAAGGCAAAAATAAATAAAATGAGTAAATAAGGGCAGGGATAGCTCAGTAGGTAGAGTGGTGGCCCCATGACTGGAATGTCGGGGTTTCGAATCCACTGAACGGCTACCCTGAGGCACACCTGAGCAAGGTACCGTCCCCACACTCTGCTCCCCAGGCGCCCAATGGCTGCCCACTGAGTGAATGGGCTAAATGCAGAGAGAAATTTCCCCACAGGGATCAATAAAGTATACATTATTATTATTATTATTATAAAAATGTCCAAGAAATTCACAGAGAAAGTACAAGTAATAAATCTGCAAACAGTGAAATGAGTCAGAGACCTGAGGCTTTTTGTTTATTCTTGTGCAAGTTTGCAAAGAGATCTGTACTGATTAGTGTGATAGCAGACAATAATAAATACAACATAATAATACAGTTGCATTCTATAGCTGTGATGAGGTAAGAGAGGGACTGTGTAAATTGTTTTATTCAGGAGTCTAATGGCCTGTGGGCGGAAGCTGTTTGAGTCTTTTAGGCCTCGATGTCAGACTCCTGTAGCGCTTGCCCGAGGGCAGAGGTATGAACAGGTGATGTTGTGGGTGTTTACTGACCTTCATGATGTTTTTTAAGTACGATTAAGTACACTTTAAATTGTCAAAACATAAAATTCAGCATTTATTTTTTACCTATAGCGTAGACGTCCTGGTTGGGTTGTGTGATTTGAATGTAAAATTCTACATAAATGTTCATAACTGGAAATGAGGCATCACATACACAATTGCTAAAATGTAAAACATTTATTTGTAATCAAGGCCAACACAAATTCACTGAAGATGTCCCACAAAATATACACATGTAGTAGAAATATATGTTCCAAATGAAGGTATTTGTATTCATTCATTTAAAAAAAAGTGTTTTAGTGTATAAAATCTTATAACAAAAAGTGTTCATGCTCCAAAATCAGTGATCATATATTCATTTCAACATGTAAAGAAAAAGAAACACAGGCTGAAGTTCATTGCGATACAGCAGAAAGAGATAACAAGCTTCTTCTTCTTCTTCTTTTTTGGAATGAATCTCCTGCATTGGAACTCACTTCTGATATAATCTAAGTGGATCAACTGTCCCTTTGCTTTGGGTACCTTTTAACTTTATTTCATACATTCCCAGAATTAGACATAAGGCACATTAAAACAAGACTAAATTAAATCCATGTCAAGAATCTGAACATTTAACATAAACATTTAATATAAAACATCAATACAAATCTGCAGTGCCCAAAGCAGACCAAAATTATACAGAGAAGCCTTTAAAATGGTACAAACAGTGTTAAGATAAAAATAAACAAACAGAGTTTAAGTGGGTTGATCTGTAGAAATGTAACCAGTCTTTGTATCCTGAAGCATTGGTTACTAAAACACCTTGTGTAGTAATGTTTTTTGTGACTTTTTTTTTTTACCAATCCTGAGAGAACACCTCAACTGTTGGTGGATAAACAATGTGGTTCTCCTCTGTATACATTAAGCAGATTAATTTAAGCCCAGAGGGGTTTGTGAGCTGTGCGATCATGTGACACTTTCCTGCACTCAGTCTGCAGCAGACGGCTGTTAAATTTAATGAAGCAGCCAGAATGAGATTCACTGAACATTAGAGATGTCCACAACAGAAGAAAATGCTTCCTTAGAAAGCAGACAGTCAAATGTAAATTCTTTGCCACTGTGTAACAACAGTGTTTACATTGTCACGTTACTCTGCCACAGGCAAATGAGATGTCAACCCACTTTCAAATAACGGAAGTAAATCTTTGCGTAATGTTGCTGTTGCCATCATATGGTACAGTACTGTGCAAAAGTCTTGAGTCACCCCATCGTTTCTTTATACTGTTGATTTTTTTAGCGGTTGATCTCCAGGCTTTCTGAAGATTGTTTGCTTTTTCATTCATTCATCCCAATTCTTAGACCTGACTATTTTTGAAGGAATGTTTTTTTTAATATATGACCTGTTTAACACTGACCTGTGAATTATTTGCAAAAGCCTAAGTTGCCCAACTCCAGGTATTAACCGGTGTTGTGTCTACACACAACAGACAACTTAGCGAAAAATTCACTTTGAATTGTATCTTTAGGCACTTTACTAGCTGCCTGTTGCAAAAACAGTATTGTCATAGAAAGAGTATTTTTGCACTGGGAATCTTGTCAAAAATGATGGAATTATGAAAGCAAAAAAGTACTATCAAATTTTCACCCACCATGTAATACAATCTTGAACATGTCTGATTAGTAGTAATCCCAAACACACTGTCAATACAGTAAAAATGTACCTGGACAGAAAAACACACAGTGGAACACTAATAGTCAAGGATTGGCCTCCACATAGGCAACATTACTGAGGCGGTGTGGGATCATCTTAACAGAGAATGGAACAAAAGACAGCCAACAGCCAAAGAACATCTAAATGTCCTTCTGGAAGCCTGGAGAACTATTCCCAAAGGTTACTTTTTGCCTCACATGCTCTATTACCATGTATGGTTGCATGTTTCAGTAGATCACTGCACCCATTTCACATTTTGCTAGCAAAATATAAAGAAATGAAGGGCAGCTCAGGATATTTGCACAACACTGTGTACTGAAGACAACATGCAAAGAAGAAAGTTCCAGCAGCCAATAGCAGGTGAGCAGACTGTAAAAGTCTGCATACATGTCTGTTTTCACCAGCTTATCTTGTGAGGTAATACAGAGAGAACAGTGATGGGGCCAGTCACTGAGAGCCTCACAGTGACAACTGACCTCTAAATAGACTCCGATTCCAATCCTCAAACTTCTAGCAATGAGACTCCTTTTCACCAACAGGGACGTAGCCATCTCGAGAGGGAGGTGCTTTCTGATGGAGGCTTTCACCGTCTGCTGCAAAGATGGCATGGAGTGCCTCCTGCTCCTGCTTTGTCTTTGGTAACTCAGTGGAAGGAGTGCTTAGAAGAACAAAACGCTGTGAACAGAAAATTGATTAAAAAACAAAGCATGTCAGTGATATGATGTCTGACAAACTGATTGATTGTTCTTCAATTTCTAATAAACCTTTTTTTAACTTAAAGACATTCATTATGATTTTGAAACTTGAACTCTGTGTGTCTTGTTTCTCTCCCTCTCTCTCTGTGCCATCATTTCATTTCACCCAGTTATTTGGATTTTCCGTATTACCACCTCTTTGGATTCATCTTGTTGCCTGCTGGAATGATCTCAGTGGGATTTGCAATGGATTCATTTCATCTCTGCCTTGCAGGACTAGTTGTCATTTATCTGTAAACTCATTAAAAGGTACTCTTGCTCATTTACCTGCTTGCTTGTGTCTGCATTTGGGACATGGTTTTGGGAAGGTGGGGGCATGGTAAGTTACGATGTTTTCCTGCTGAAAACCTGGAACAATATTCTTATTTGGTGAATACCTTAACCAACAGAAGATAGAAGTTCCCTTTATTCACTTAAGATAACGGTGTATATAAATAAATATATTCAAATATTGTGATGAATTCTATGGCAGCTGCCAATTTCAGACAATAGAAATAGTGAACGGATGATCCAGAACTTTTTCAAAGTAAAGCAAAAAGGAAATGCTCTTGAGATATGTATACATACTTCTGTAACAAAGAAGCAAACAAATTGAACTATTGTTCATTCAAAAATACTGAATTATGACGAATCTGACTGGTTTTGTTTCTGTGGTTCAATCTTTAAGGTGCCAGTTTTTTCATATGCACAGAAAAATCCAAACAGTTTCGGACTTACTTCTCTCAGTGTTCCTGGGGTATTGTACAGTTTGAATGCCATACAAAGGGGTATGCAAAGCATGGAGGACAGAGCCAGGATCCAGCCGATCCCATCCGCCCACAACGGGTACACATAATCATTGTTGTACTTCAAAGGTGAGTACTTGATTAAGGCAAAGGCAAAGGTTCCCTGTGTGAAGTATGATAACACTGATAAATAACTGACATTTAATACACCAGTGAATACTTTGACTGTATAATTTTGGTATCATCTTAAGATATTAGCCCAGTTTTATTGACATGTATTTCTAATTTTGACCAGCAGAGGTTGCTCTACTTTCAGAAGAGAACTGTTAATAAAGCAAAACTCACAAAGCATGTTGCAGGAGTGAAGAAAAGCCAGCAGTATTTAATGGCAGGGCCGGGGCGATAGCCAATCATATCCTCAATGTTATCATAGAAGCGATCTGCCCCTGTGGTCAGAGGAAAGTTGGATCAGTGTCAAGATTCCCCCTGACCAGTAGAGAGCTTAAAAACCCCAGCACACTATTATTTTAATAAAACAAGTTGCAGTTATTTTCAACTAGTAATGATCATTTCTTTAATTCCTTTGAACTCAAACCATCAATCTACACCTTTCATTTTATGGATGGTCTCTATTAGCAAATTAAGCACTGAGCATTTTTAAGTTCCGACAGTCTTAAATAACAAACTCACCATAAACCCAACCGATGCAAACTGTCTGAAAAATGGCTACGAAGAGCAGGCACATCCCACTGGCTGCATAGTAGTCAAAGAGTTGGAAGACATACATGCCTCCCTGTGGGTACAGACAGACAGACAGACAGACATGAGTTCACAAGTGTAAGATAAAACAAATGAAACACAACCTGCATGACGCAAAATATTGCTTTCAGGTCATTTATCCATTATGTGCTTGGATTTTACTAAAGTGGAAACAATTTGCCAACAACAAAAGTTATTCACAGTTGGCTGTGTCACAGCATGATTTGTGCCAAGTGACTGGATATGAAGGAATTTTAATAGGTTGCTAAAGAGAAGCTACAGTAGGTGAACTCAGGCACTTTAAATGAGTTTGGCAGACTGCTTGGCGACAGTCTGACTTAGGAAAAAATCATAAAAAAAAAAACCCAAACAAAATGCCCCAGTAAGTACTTCACTTAAATTCACAAGACCATGGATTGGTAGCATTTATGCTCAGTATCACTTTGAAATTATGTATGTATTAAAACTGAAAGAATTGCACAAACTAACCTCTGTCAGCATGATGAGGCCCAGGAAGAAGGATACTATTGCTACTGCCAGGATGAAGAGTTCCCTGCGGTTTTTACGGCGGAAGACGGAAGGATACATATCCACCACGGCTGTGACCAGGCTCTCCACACATACAAACTAATCAGGAAAAAAGCCAAAGTTATGAGATGTGCGTACTTTTTGATGTTGTGTACTGCATTTGTGTATGCATGTGCACAGACCAGCTGTTAATAAAAAGGTACTGAGCAACTGAGGAAAAATAGCAGAGCTGTACAAAGGCTACTAGTTGGGATTGTGTTCATATGACTATTATTTGAATTTTCTTTTTGTATGTGTTCTTGTGTGGGCTATTTTGCTACATGCTGGCCTCACCTGGCTGTCCAGTCCTAGAAATACAATCATAATGAAGAAGAAGCAGGCCCACAGAGGGGAAAAAGGCATCATGGTCACAGCTCGAGGATAGGCAATGAAGGCTAAACCTGGACCTGTCGTACACAGAAATCCCACTGAAGTTAGAATTTGTGTTTTTCTTTTCAATCAAGCACATATTTTGATATAATACTGACATGTTCAGTTCAACTGTCTGCGCTTTAGAAAATTGTATTCTGCCATGCATTGATTCACACCCAATAAACATCCTGCAGTACTGATCAATACACCGTATCTTTATATATACATCTATATGGATACATGAAAGCTCTGTGTGTTCCTCAAACTCGGGCCCTCTACAAACCGCCTGGGAGTTGGAGGTTCTGCACAGTATCTAAGCTTTTCCTAGGACTTTGCTCTTCTGGACGGAGACCCTTTGATGTTGTGCCTGTTGATTACCACTACATCTGGTTGGTTGCCAGCAGCTGGAACTCAAAGGCTGCAACACAGGACCTTTTCTCCTTGGTAGTGTCTCCTATCGGGACTTGGGGACATCTAGTCTATATTGTGCACAGATGTCCCTGTACACTATCCCAGCTGGGATATACTGCATCAACTTGCATCTTACATCCTGCTATTATATGTTGGATAGTCTTCACGACACCTTTGTACGGTCTGCAACTTGGGTCCTGTTGTCTATGGTGGACTCCTGCCTCTATGGATCTGATGGTATCTGTCAGAGGTACAGGCCAAGTTGGGGCTTGGTGGTCCATGACGGTTCCTCTTCTTGTTCCAATCACTGTCTGTCTTCAGCTGCCTCAGATCTCAACAGGGGCTGGGGGTGGGGCACTTATCTTCATCCTGCACTGTGACTCTGACACTCACTAATCCTCACCCCTTCCTCTATTCATTGTTCATAGTGCCTCAGGATTTTGGAGACCTCAGTGTATTGTGAGCAGTTTTTGTGTCTTGACATCAGAGGCATTTATCTCCTTATGTGGCTAGCTTATTATTCCAGAATTGAAATGAATTATGTCAATAGTGCTCAATACACCTCCCACTGTGCTATAGGCTCTGGATCTTCACCTTCAATAGTAGCTGTCTTCAACTGCTACAAACGCTATTGCACTCCCATGTATTGCATATGACCTCTCAGTTGGATTAGTAGCTTTACATCAATTCCACATTGTAAGTCCTTGTCCATATTAGCTTTGTTCCACTACCCACATCAGTATTTACTGGTTTCTCAACCCCTGGCATGGACCTTGATGTACAAACCTATCTTATCTATCTATCTATCTATCTATCTATCTATCTATCTATCTATCTATCTATCTATCTATCTATCTATCTATCTATCTATCTATCTATCTATCTATCTACCTACCTACCTACCTACCTACACAATATAAGAACTACAAACCAGATTCAGCCACTTCTGAGATGGGCACATTTTGCTCGTTGGACATGAAGCCCAGGATGGAGAAGATGGCAAAGCCCGCAACAAAACTGGTACCACTGTTAAGGAAACAGAGGGCCACACAATCCCTGCAAACAGCACAACAAGAATATAGTCACTGAAAATAAATTGTTGAAAATATTACTGACATTACATGGAACAGAATTACTTGATATGCTCACATATATATATATGAGTGTAAAGCGTCTTTTGTCACTGGACAAAAGACGGAGAGAGAGAGAGAGAGAGAGAGTCATTACCTGTAGCAGTTGTTGTTATATTTGTTGTAGCTTCCTAGGGCAGTGAGGCAGCCAAGACAGATGGCGAATGAGAAAAAGATCTGAGTTCCAGCATCCATCCATACCTTTGAACAGAAATGAAACCAGATGAGGAAAGAAATACATTTTTAAAGACTCTTTAAAAAAAAAAAAGGATAAACTCAGACAGAAAAAGAAAAAAACGAATGTTTATCAGCTTTCTACGGTGTTGTGAAAAATATTTTCCCCTTCATCATTTCTTTCTTGTTTTTGATTTTAATATTTGTCATATTTTCATGTTTCAGACGATCAAATACAGTTTAATATTACAAAGCGCAGTTTTCAAATGATGATTTAATTTATTAACGAAAAAACCCAGTCTAACCAAACCTACCCTGTATGAAAAAAATGGGATGACCTTAAGAGAATATATTTCCAACAGAATAATCAGATGTCCTTGACAACCAAAGAAAATACAGACAAGTTTACACATTATTTTGGTTTGCATATTTCTGTGTTCCTGAAAGGCTCAGTCCAGTTTGAATGTTTGGAAACAGACTTCAATCCATAACATTAAGCAAGAACTACATTCGCTGTTATTTTGTTTCTTTCTTCTGCTTCGAATTAAAAGAAACCTTTAACACCCACCCATAAAATTCTCTTTGCCCTCTTATCCAGTTTGCAGGAGCAGTTGACACTGGACAAAAGGCCAGATACAGCCCCACCAGATCACTGTGTGATCAGGGTAAGATAAGATTGTTTTGCACAACGGCAGCACCACACCCAAAAATGCAAATAGTGAACTCAGTCTTCGAAACCTCCCATGTCCCTTTTAATTTTTGAAAAAAGTCTAGAAAAGTACTGCTACTATCTCTGAAATCTCTTCTCACCCCACAACCCTGACATGAGCTTCCTAGTAAAGCCATTTCCACATCTAAGGCACAAAGCAGAGCACTCTTGGAACACTCACTCACACTTCAACATGTAAATGAGATTTCTCTTTCTAATTGCTTTTCTGGTAAAATGCTCCCACTGCACTGAGGCATTTTTCAAGGTAGCTGGCAGCCGGGACTGAAGATCTGACTGACAGTAACTCTGGACACATCATTACAACCAAAGGCAGATATTTTGAACTCTTAAACGCTTTACACTCAGCCTTGTCTAGGACTGCATACACGTGGCTTGTGTTCATTCTCTAAAGGACAATGAAGGAGGGGTGGGGCGAGTGTTTGGAATTCAAACAAAAGCAAGCACAAAGGAAACTGCAAGTGTCCTTGTTACCACCCATATTCCCAACCCACTCTCATGTGATTGTTAAAACGGTTTAAAGCAACCAGTTGTTTAGTTAGTTTAAAGGCACAAAAATGAGACAGGATTCAGTCCCTCATCATAAACCAGGGGTGGGCAACTCCAGGCCTCGAGGGCTGGTGTCCCTGCAGGTTTTAGATGTGTCCTTGGACCAACACAGCTGATTTAAATGGCTAAATTAGCTCCTCAACTTGTCCTGAAGTTCTCCAGAGGCCTGGTAATGAACTAATCATGTGATTCAGGTGTGTTGACCCAAGGTGAGATATAGAAACCTGCAGGACACCGGCCCTCGAGGCCTGGAATTGCCCACCCCTGTCATAAACCTACAATAACTGGCTTTATCTTTTAGCTGTTCAATGATCCTCCAGCTAGTCCTTAAGTGTGTCAGTCTTCTGCGTGAAGCTAAAAAGGGAAACTTTTCTCAATTTGGTAATGTCTCAATGCCAAGAGAAACATATTTTCTATCTCTTTTTTTCAGACAGACAGGATGATGGGTGGAGTAACTGTGTTAGCTTTAGGTGGATGGATGAGTACATAAAGTCAAATTCTAAACATAGAATGCAAATTTGGCCATTCAGTAACAGCCTTCAAAGCTTTATTGTTTTAATTGTGTTGCTCGATACTGAGCTTGCTGGGATGTTCCTTTTTGCTTTTTTTGAGCAACCACCCCAATGTGGCTAGTGACTTTATGAGGCCATAAAAGTGAACAACACAAAGTAACAGTGCACTCAATTCAAAATCTTAAGTGCTGTATCCGGTGTTTGCTTTTGACAAATCTGAAAAGCTTTTCTTAAGAGCAAAAAGGCAAAGCAGTGAAAATCTATCTGAACCTGAAATCACATCTTTGCCTATGGGATGGATCAAACAGTCATGCTGACAATTTCTCGTAAACAGTGGTGACTTTCCAAGAAATTACAAATGTACAATACAACAAAAACGTTAAAGATGATTCAGTACATATGTTTAGAAATTTTTGGTGTTAAAAGCTGCCAGTCTCACAGTGAACCATTAAGTACATGATCAGGCCAACCGTCTACGAAAGGTCTGGGAGTTGAAGGTTCTGCACAATATCTTAGCTCTTCCTAGGACTCTCTGATGTTGAGCCTGGAATCTGTTGAAGCTGTTCTTCCAGTTTTGGGGTTACAACTCTTAATGTTCCTGTAACTACTGGAAATGCTTTGGCCTTATATTCCATATCTGTTCCAGTTGTTCCTTCAGGCTCTGGTACTTCTCTATTTTCTCGTGTTTCTTCTTCCTGATGTTGCTGTATGCTGTAATTGTCACGTCTATCACAACTATGTCTGTGAAGGTTCTCAGTCATCCAGGTCATCGTAGTCAAAGGAGCTTGCAAAGAAAAGCGTCTGGACTTCTTTAAGTTGCTTGAAGACGTTTCACCTCTCATCCGAGAAGCTTCTTCAGTTCTAAGGTCAAATGGTGGAGAGTCCCAGATATAAACCTAGTGGGAGTGACCCCCCACAGAGGGACAAAAGGACCCCCTGATGATCCTCTAATCGCCTGAGCCAAGGTGGGAAACTGGGTGTGGGTCCCAATCAGCCAGAGTTTCGGGTGTGTTCATTGTGAAACCTGGCCCCACCCTATCATGCGAATTCCTGAGGTCAGATGGCCCAGGATGTGAGTGGGCGTTAAGGCGTCTGGGAAAGCATCTCAAAACTGGATTATAGATGGCAGAGAGTTGGTGTCGTAAACCCCCGCCTCTGTTCAAAGATGGTCGCTCACAGTGGACATAGATGGCTTCTTTTACTCCTCTTTCAAACCATCTGTCCTCTCTGTCCAAAATGTGAACATTGGCATCCTCGAAAGAGTGACCTTTATCCTTAAGATGCAGATGGACTGCTGAGTCTTGTCCTGTGGAGATGGCTCTTCTGTGTTGTGCCATGCGCTTGTGAAGTGGCTGTTTGGTCTCTCCAATGTAGAGGTCTGAGCATTCCTCGCTGCACTGTACAGCATACACCACATTGTTAAGTTTGTGTTTTGGCGTTTTGTCTTTCGGGTGAACCAGTTTCTGTCTGAGCGTGTTGCTGGGTCTGAAATACAGGAGAAACTCAGGAGAGTTTTCTCCAAGCATGACATCCCAGTGTATTTCAGACCCAGCAACACGCTCAGACAGAAACTGGTTCACCCGAAAGACAAAACGCCAAAACACAAACTTAACAATGTGGTGTATGCTGTACAGTGCAGCGAGGAATGCTCAGACCTCTACATTGGAGAGACCAAACAGCCACTTCACAAGCGCATGGCACAACACAGAAGAGCCACCTCCACAGGACAAGACTCAGCAGTCCATCTGCATCTTAAGGATAAAGGACACTCTTTCGAGGATGCCAATGTTCACATTTTGGACAGAGAGGACAGATGGTTTGAAAGAGGAGTGAAAGAAGCCATCTATGTCCACTGTGAGCGACCATCTTTGAACAGAGGCGGGGGGTTACGACACCAACTCTCTGCCATCTATAATCCAGTTTTGAGATCCCTTCCCAGACGCCTTAACGCCCACTCACATCCTGGGCCATCTGACCTCAGGAATTCGCATGATAAGGTGGGGCCAGGTTTCACAATGAACACACCCGAAACTCTGGCTGATTGGGACCCACGCCCAGTTTCCCACCTTGGCTCAGGCGATTAGAGGATCATCAGGGGGTCCTTTTGTCCCTCTGTGGGGGGTCACTCCCACTAGGTTTATATCTGGGACTCTCCACCATTTGACCTTAGAACTGAAGAAGCTTCTCGGATGAGAGGTGAAACGTCTTCAAGCAACTTAAAGAAGTCCAGACGCTTTTCTTTGCAAGCTCCTTTGACTCTATCACAACTACATTTTATGCTTCTTGTTAACCATCTCTATATATGCTTGGTTGCCAGCAGCTGGAACTCAAAGTCGTCATCTTAATATATTCACAGATACTCTGTTGTTTAATCCTGCATTGTGGCTCTGACACTCACTAACCCTCACCCTACTTCTTATTATTTTTCATAGATTCTTAGGATGCTGGACTTTGACTGGGGACCTCTGCATTGTGAGCAGGTTTTAAGTCAGTTTATATCAAGTTTCTCTCCTTAACCCAAATTTTATTAGCTTGTCTCTCAGATGCCACAGTCTTGCCAAATTAGCAGATGGATCAGTCAGTACTTGTCTAGTGGAACAGATGAAAGGCTGTGTTTCCCAGATTTGATCCGCATACCTGGACATATGTTTTTCTGACAAGGTGAACCACTGTTCACCACCTCAGCACAAGTGTATTGTTTTTTTTTAACTTACTTGGGGGTCAGACAGTCGATTGATGTCGGGGTAAAGGTAGAAGTGGATTCCAATGGAGGCGCCTGGCAGTGTTACTCCTCTGATCAGGAGAACCAGGAGCATTACATACGGAAAAGTAGCTGTGAAGTAAACTACCTGGAAGGAAACAACATTTTCTTGTGATTCTAACATCTTTTATAACAATTCCTACCATTCTATTTTTTTGATTTCAATTAAACGTGTTATTTTCTCTCTTTTTTTCCAAAATGTGACTTCTTTAGTCTGCAAAAATTTCAAATATGAAAAAAAAGTAGAATATCTTTCGTAGCATTAAGCAGTGCAGATTTTCATTATATGAGTTTGGTTAAACGCAAATCTTTGTTTTTCATTTATTACAAACAACAAAAGACTGGCAGAAGATTGGTATTTAATGGTGCACATCAATAACACAGATGCTGTTCTAACTGTGAATGTTTAGCACGGGAGGGTTTATTATTATTATTTTTCTTTTTTTACCTTGCCTGTGGATTTCACTCCCTTCCATACACAGAAGTAACAGATTACCCATGCAAAGGCAAGACACAGAGCCAGATCCCAGTTCAGAGAACCAATGTGGTCAATACCTGAAGATATTCTCAGTACTCTGCGCCTAAATCGAAAACATACGCACAGGAGAAAAACTAATTATCATACCTAATGTACTGATACAAACCCTTAGGAACCAGAAGCTAAGAGTTAAAAAGCGGAGAGAAACAAAAATAAGACAACTTTGAACAAGTAGTTTGACCTAATTTAATCCAAACCTCTAGAAGAAATTTTTTGTTTAGTAAATCTGTTGGTATGTAAGGTCATTTGAGGACATGGTCAAACAAAAGGACACTTACTCCCAGAACTCAATGACAGGAGAGGTGGTGTTCTCATGGTGATTGATGGAGGTATTCCCCTTCTGCAATGGCATACAGGAATCTTGAATGAAGGACAGACAAAAAGACATTCAATCCTGTGAAGAAATCCAAGCGTTCTCCAAGGTTTCCAAGTTACACACAGGCAAGACAAACAAGTGCCGACACTGAGACAGACAGAAACAGTTTTCCTGCAGCATTCACTCCCTTTATTCAAAAATATGGGAAAAAAATCACAAAAGGACGTTTTATCTGCATCCCTAAAAGTAGTCTTTAGAGACCTTTAGAGATGCTGACCTAGGTATCCTTGATTAAAGATTACACCAATAGTATGTGCAGCACCGGCAAAAATTTTCGGCACTTCACATGCTAAAATTCTTAAACATCGTAATTCAGTTGGTAGTGACTCCAAACATACAGATACAGATGCCAAAGAACTGTCAGTGACAAGAAGAACAAAGAGTCTGCCCCTTCCACTCCTCCTGTGGTTTACATGGATATTAACTGTTCTGAAATGTTGCATATTGTGTATGACAGGTTGTCTACACTTGAATACAAAAAATTGTATGACAGAAAGGACCAATCACAGAAATTCCATGAGGTATTATAATTGGCTGGTTTCTATGATCTTAACCAACATAAAAATGATCAGCATCCCTTTTTCTCAGTTTATTGTATCACAATTGTGTTCATTTATATATGTATTTATCTATAGACAGCCTACAGAGAGGGCTTTTCAACCAATCCAAACTGCCCGACATGGATGACACTGTGTGTAGGTCACATTTGCTGCTTTTGTCTATTGAGAATAAAAAGATGCTCTTCCATTATTGTTCATAGTGACAGTGTAAGATACTTGAATATTGTATTTATGTATTGTGTTAGAATATGGCCATTAAAGAAATTTACCCTATGTGGACAGCAAAGTCATAAACACCAATAAGAATTTTCTTAAGTTTATATGATAAGCAGAGATACAAAATCTTTGTCTTACTTGTGTTCCAGCTATTGTTGCAGGATGCCCAGGGCAGATCCCAGGTGAAGGAGTGGAACAGAAAGAAGATGGCCCAGGCTAACACAATAATGTAGTAGATGTTCAGCAGAGCAACAATTACCTGGCTGCCATAACCCAGGCCTGAAACAGAAAACACGCTTTTGGTGATAAGCAATAAAATACCACTATTACCAATCCTTTGACTTGATTGGTCAGGCCAGTTAGGTCATTATTTTTCCGCAGTACCTGTCGCTGAACCAACATACAGTCAGGTAACTGTGCAAATGTATTGTTTAGTGTAGTTCCACAGAGGCGTACTTTAATATTGTCACATTCTTGTGACATGTACTAGTCGAAGCACAGCTGGAGATGTACTGAATCTGTTTTTATCACTTGTTAACAGCAGCCTGTAAACACTAAAGCTCCACTGAAGCTAATTGTGCTGTGTCTGATGTGATCCACCCAAAGTTGTCAGTTCAAGTAAGGAAAAAGTTTCAGTTACATGACTGTTTCCTTCACTCGACCCTGCACAACTTGCAATCCCCTATATCCATTTACTTTGTACTGTATCTTTTTTCAGTGTTGTTCTACATTTTTGTTAGGAATACTCTGTAGTTCACAAGCAGCTGCTGCAGACACATTTACATTTAACACGTGAATTAGACAAATGTATCCATGTATGGTACTGTTAACACCATAAAATATCCATAAAATTGTCATGGTCCTGGGTCTTTTGACCCAGCGTTTTAAGTTTGAGTTTATTTTGTTCATTAGGTTATCTAAGTTCATTTGGTTATTAGACTCCTTGTGTTTTCTTCCCCTGTATTTAAGCTTCCCCTCACCCTTCATGTTTCATGCTGCGTGTCTTATGTTATCAAGTTTGTATTATTATGCCTAAGTGTTTCTAGTTATTATTTTCCCCTCGTGTTTCCAACCATGTTAAATCTCCCCTGCTCTTCATGCGTTTCATGTCTGTGTCTTACGTTGTCAAGTTCGGGTTGTCATGTCTATGTCTCATTATGTTTCCTGTTTTATTGTGAAGAGGTCTGGTGTTCTGTGTTCATCATGTTCAGTTTTACTCTCCCACTGTGACGTCATTATGTTCATGTGTGCCAGCTGTTTCCTCATGTGTCTCCACTTCCCCTAATCACCTCCTGTGTATTTAAGTCCTCTGTTTTCAGTGTGTGATTGTCAGGTCGTCTGTTGTCCACGCCATGTTTCCTATGCCATGCTTCCAAGTTTCTTGTCTAGGTTTTTCTTATTGTTTGTTTAGATTTCCCAGTTTAGGTTCATGCTAATTTTGCTTCAGTTTCCCTTGCTCTTTGTTTGCACCTTTTTTTACCAGCCACATTAAACGGCTTGCTTTTTGTTAACATTCAAGTTTTGTTCCCTGTTCCTTGGAGTCTGCATTTTGGGTCCTTTTTCAATTCATACAGTCTGCCCTCGCCAGACTGTGACAGAACGACCTGACCAGAATGGACCCAGCAGACATCTTTGAGGATTTTTGGGAGTTCAGCACTCGTGTGACCATTCTCCATGGACAGTGGAAAATCTATTCTGCGTGCAGACAGGAGAGTGAGGAGTCAGTTAGAGTTCAGCTGTACCGGATTCTGTCTGCATACCCGGCTTACATGGAGGGATTGTCGGAGGATTTGCACGGCTTCATCCACACCGTGTTGCCAAAGCAGCCCCCCAGCATGCAGACTGAATTACTCCAGCCCCTCTGTGATGCAGCTCTCCCTATGCCAGCTACAGGAGTGAAATTTGGCGTGTTGAGTCACCTGTCTGTCTCCATGTCCATGTCGCCACTGCAGCAGACAAGTGTTGCGTTTTCCTCACCTCAACCGGTGGCTGCTTCCAGCGCTACATTCATCTCAGCCGTAGCGGCGCCGGCCTCCACGACCACGGCTTCCAGGAGGAGGCGGCGTCCAGGTCGTCACCACGGCTCACAGCAACATGAGGTGGGTGATTGTATTCTGAATCCACGCGTTTTTTTCTAAGGACAATATTGGAACAAACACTGCCTTAAAGGTTCATGGGCATGTTTATGAAATCACTAAGACTGAAAAATCACCAGCCAAGTCTTCCACGGAATATCTTATCCCTCTGCACAATTACCTAGCATCCCAGTGTATTGATCATGCTATGAACTTTGCTTCCAAGAAGCCAAATTATAAGACTGTTTGCACTGGAAGTGCTAGCCATGAGGCTCAGCTAAGCTACTGTGGGACCGAGATCCAGGCCAGGTTGGAGCCAGGGGCTAAGTTGGAGTTTGTGCAGCCTTTTCCTGTGTCTGCTGGCGGGCCCGAGGAGCCCGTCCAGCCTCGCGCCTCGTCAGCTGGCGGGCCCGAGGAGCCCGTCCAGCCTCGCGCCTCGTCAGCTGGCGGGCCCGAGGAGCCCGTCCAGCCTCGCGCCTCGTCAGCTGGCGGGCCCGAGGAGCCCGTCTGGCCACCTTCTGCTTCACCACCTGTGGCTGCAGCGCCACCTCCTGCGGCTCCCGTGCCGCCGCCTGCAGGACCACCACCTGCTGCGCTACTGCTTGCTGCTTCTACGCCTCAGCCCGAGGACGACGCCTCACCTGGTTCTGCCACACCTCAGTCTGAGAACTCATACGAACTCATTTCACCCACTATAGACTGTGTGTTGCTGCAACTTGAAAAGCAACCTGCCTCGTCAGCTGGAGGGTCCGAGGGGACCGTTCAGCCGCCACCTGCGGCCGCCTCGTCTGGTCCAGCTTCGTCAGAGTCTTCAGCCTCGTCTGGCCCGGCCTCGCCTGGTCCTGTTGTGCCAGCTGGAGGTTCAGCCAAGCGCGCCCAGCATCCTTCCACGCCATCGCCTGCAGCGCCGCCACCTGCGGCTTCCACGCCATCGCCTGCAGCGCCATTATCTGTGCCTGCCACGCCTCAGCCTTGTCTCCTTCCACCTGCCAAGCCACGTCCAGGTCCAGCACGGCTGTTTCCGGAGCCTGTCAGGACAGCCTGTCGACAGAAACCAACCAAACCATCCAAGGATTATCGTCCACGCCGTCGACCACCCGCCAAGCCGCCCGACAGGTCTCGTCCATGTTGCCGTCGGCCACGAGCCAAGCCGCCAGAGTGTGGCCAGCCATGCTTGCTTCGCCACTGCCGCCTTCCACATGGCCGGCCCCCTGAACCCTTGAACTATGGACTACTGTGCCATCGGCCTCCAGGTCGGCCACCTGAACTACGCCGCCATGAACTCCTTTTCTGCCGAGATCATGGTCGCCCTCCTGAAACAGGGTCTCGGACTCTTAAGCCCTTGTGTTTGGACTGAGTGCTTCAGATTCTTTGTTTTTGTGGTTTTGTTTCTGGCCCTCCGTCCTGGACCCCCGCCGCCCGCCCTGGGTGGGTTGTTTTGGTTTATTTCATGTTTGTTTTCTTGTTGCTGCATTTCTTCATGGTTTTGGGCGTCTGGAATCCGCCCTTGAAGGGGGGGCTCTGTCATGGTCCTGGGTCTTTTGACCCAGCGTTTTAAGTTTGAGTTTATTTTGTTCATTAGGTTATCTAAGTTCATTTGGTTATTAGACTCCTTGTGTTTTCTTCCCCTGTATTTAAGCTTCCCCTCACCCTTCGTGTTTCATGCTGCGTGTCTTATGTTATCAAGTTTGTATTATTATGCCTAAGTGTTTCTAGTTATTATTTTCCCCTCGTGTTTCCAACCATGTTAAATCTCCCCTGCTCTTCATGCGTTTCATGTCTGTGTCTTACGTTGTCAAGTTCGGGTTGTCATGTCTATGTCTCATTATGTTTCCTGTTTTATTGTGAAGAGGTCTGGTGTTCTGTGTTCATCATGTTCAGTTTTACTCTCCCACTGTGACGTCATTATGTTCATGTGTGCCAGCTGTTTCCTCATGTGTCTCCACTTCCCCTAATCACCTCCTGTGTATTTAAGTCCTCTGTTTTCAGTGTGTGATTGTCAGGTCGTCTGTTGTCCACGCCATGTTTCCTATGCCATGCTTCCAAGTTTCTTGTCTAGGTTTTTCTTATTGATTGTTTAGATTTCCCAGTTTAGGTTTGTGTTAATTTTGCTTCAGTTTGCCTTGCCCTTTGTTTGTACCTTTTTTTTTTTTTTTTTTTACCAGCCATATTAAACGGCTCGCTTTTTGTTAACATTCAAGTTTTGTTCCCTGTTCCTTGGAGTCTGCATTTTGGGTCCTTTTTCAATTCATACAGTCTGCCCTCGCCAGACTGTGACAAAATGATTTCTTGGGAACACAAGTTGATTACCTTCAAACAAAGGGCAGATTTTCCTCCAGCAGGTAATGCCTCCCTCACTGGTGTACTGACCCAACGCTGTCTCCAGGAAGAAGACAGGGATCCCACAAGCAAACAAGAAGATGAGGTATGGTATAAAAAAGGCACCTGTACACACACAGATTGAAGGAAAAGTTGACTAAGTTGTTTTCAACATGTCCTCGAGCAATGTGGTGCAGTTAGGACTGCTGCATCTTGAAGTTATTGTACACATACTGCAAGGTAAGGTTGCAAAAAAGTTTCTAGTAAAACATCCTGCTCCAAAGTTATTTTGCTAGAAGTTAAGCATGAATTGGCTCATTCTTCATATTTTTAAAGGATTTAACAAGCCTGGCCTACTTATTCACTATTTTATTGATTGTCTTGGAATTTCACACGTTAGCTCATGTATTTTTTTTCTTTCAACGCTAATGCATACGATAGTAATTATAAAAAATGATAATTAATCCAACTTTCAAGCAAAGCACTTGCAGTTTATCAGTTTAATTTGCATGCTAGGTGGACTACTCTTTCCAAAGGAAAGGAAATGATGCATAAAGTCTACTACATCTACTAATCTGAAGTGTCTTGTGGCTGTAATCTTGCCACCAGACCCCGATGCAGTGTATGACTATGTAAATGCAAAAATAAACTAAAGATATCTCAAGATAACGAGGTAACGAGCAAAAAACGTTCATTGGCGACACTCACCTCCTCCATTCTTATAACAAAGGTAAGGAAAACGCCAGACATTCCCAAGGCCAATAATTTCTCCTGCCACGGACAGAATAAACTCAACCTTGTTGCCCCATTGTCCCCTTTCTGTCATCTTCTCCTCTGTACTGGGTACAATGTCCAGCGGCCTGCTGTGCCCATTAGAAGCTTCCACCTTGGACGTGTTTTCCATATCGTTTGATTGACCTAAGAAATTGAACATAACATAGTGTCAGGATTTGTTTTAAAGGCAGAGAATAAAGCTTTCATTCAGAAGGCATTTATGGCTTGTCCAATTTCAGTAGAGCTTAAAGGTAGATTGCTGAAAAACGTCATGCATTATTTGTCCCAGTCACTCTCATTTCAATTCAACCATGACAGCAGTTCGTACAGACTGAACTTTTTTGTCTATAAAATTAACACGTTTGATTGCTTCATAAAAAGTGTTTCTATACATTTGTGATGATACGCAGCTGCAACAATTCTGACTGAGATTTGTTTCTGCATTTTTATCCGTGAAAATGTTTGCATTCAGGATAATGCACCAACAACCTCAACAGGAGATTAAGCAATTTCAGGACCTTGGGTAGTTCTTGGTGAACATTTATATGATGTGCCATCTATTATTGTATTTACAAAAGCCAAAATGTATGCCATCTTTTTTGTGCGTTGAATGAGGTCAGCAATTACTTGAGGTTATGTGACCACATTAGAAGTTGGTCAGGACCTCTGCCAAACCCTGTTTTGGGGCCAGCACTACTGAAAGAATTTCTCTCTATGGAGGAAACAGACAGCTCACTGACTGTGCTCACTCCTGTCAGGTTGCATTAACAGGCTTCTCACAGTCCGTCTGTTACCCCTTTTTCCTCTCTCTGGAACACATTATGGTCACTGCTGCAGTCCTGCATCCTTCTGCAGGAAACACGCTCACACTAATCCGATTACAAAAATGCACCAATTCTTTTTTCACCCCAAACATCCACACAAACACAAGTTACATGTAGTGTGACCTAGTTTAACAGGAGTAGTTTCTCCATGTTTTCTATGTTTACTTCTGAAAACAGCACGGGGCATAGAAGGTTCATTTATCACAAAGCCTTGTGTGAAGCCATCTTCAGGAATTCGCTCCTGCTGATAAAGGGCAGAGGTGGAGCACAAAAGTGACTTTGTATGTGATGTGTACATAGGGATGGAGGTTAGAACCACTTTAGGAGCCAAAATCTCAGCGGCAGAGCCAAATTGTGGCCGAGGTAAAAAATAGAGCTCTTGTTTTCGGAAGCTACTTGGTGGGAATGAAGGCTCAGTTCAACAAAAGTGGAGTGGCCTTGCAGCCAGATCACAGTTTACCTCCCCTTTTCACAGTTTCTCTGTGGGCCAAGTGCCTCACTTCAAAAAGCATAATTTTAATAGGCTCTAAAAGATCGAACTTACAATAGCCTTTCCTTGCTGAAATAGTAGGTATTCACACACGTTCAATACAGGACATCAGAGAAGAGGCACACTGTGAGAAAATGTGCCAAAACTGGGAACAAGCTCATGGAGGCAAAAAGGACCTTCTTCCTAGGAAACGGAGCCAACATTTCCTCTTTCTGAAACATAATGGGCTGACTGAACCACTGAGTGACCGACAGACTGAGCTACTGAATGACTGGCCGACTGACTGAAGGTTAGGCTGACTTTGTGGTCCAGTACTGTATTGTAAATACATCAAAGTCGGTAAATAATTATTGTAAACTAAATTTTTAGTATTCAAAATGTTGCCTGATAAGTAGGGCTATATTATAAGATCTGGGTTTTGTGTCCTTATAATAGGATTCTGAACTGAGTCAAAAAATATTCACATATAGGTGAATTCACAGGGCTATTATTTTCAAATCCAAAATCTGACTGACTTAATTTTGAGTGGGTAACACTGTGAACATAAATACTGTAAATCTATAAGGAAATTAGCCTGTGGAAAGAAGTTAAAAAGTTTACTTGTAATGGTTGTGCACAACTTGATCATTGACGTGCAAATTGTCATGACCACTGATCAACAACCATTGATCAAAGACCATTGATCAGTGGCCTAGTTTAAGTCATTGTGCAAATGTACTGTTTATAAGGTTGTGAAAACCTGCAGATAGCTGAGACTGAAGAAGTCACTTGGATGAGTGCCGAAGCGTTCCTCCCACTGAAAACACTACGTTCAGATGAACAGAATCAGCCTTTTGGATATTTGATCTTAAGTGGGCCCAAAGAGTGAAACTACACTTTCCACATTTAATCCCTGAGATTATGAAATAATAAAATTTTTACAATTTACAATTACAATTTTGGCAGCACATCTCAGTTTCTCTACATGATACATGTGTAAAATTACAGAAAAGGTTCCAGTAGCTCACTGACTGTCCCATATTCATAAAACGGACGTTTCTATAGTAGACAGTGAAATATAGCAATTTTTCTGTCATTTAATTGTTTATCTATTACTGAACTGAACATTGGTGCATAATGAATGGCTGTAGGGTAGGTCTTTATCAGCAGTGAAAACTGTAAAGTTTTTTTTTTAAAGTTAAGTTTCCAATATTTATACGGTACCTTCTTTAATATTTTGTAAACCCATTCAGCAGGCCGGATTGCAGTCTTTGCCGATCGATTCTGACTATGTTTGACATCCCCTGCTCTAAGTTCAGTGGGACTGTAAACAGTAATGTATTAAAAAAATCTGTTATCACTCAGATAGGCTGGAAGAAAACTCAACAACTTGATCTATGGCAAAGTTATTTCACAATCAACGGGTTATTTTTCCTCCCTCTAAAGCTTAGTTAGGTTGTGTTTTACAAGACTAAAACGGTTGTGTTCAGTGATGTACTCAGAAAGGTGTAGTTTTGGTTCCAGCAGACATAACTTCCATCGATGTCCAACAATCAGACTAAGTTTACACAGTTGCGATTATCCTGTAATTAGGCAACAAGTTCTCGGGTTGATGAATAATCAATTCCGACACCACGTAAGAACACTGAATGTAACGTTTTCTGCTGCAAGCTACAAACTGAACGGTTATGTAACGACACTCATCTTTCACTTTTTCACTAAAGCATTTCAGTTTCCACGCCTGCTTGGTTGGAATGGTAGAGGAGTCAACTGGATCCGCGCTCCCTGTCCAGTGCGCGCTCCCGACGCATTGGAAACAAATTCTGTCGGGGATAACTACCTTGGCACGACACCTGCCATAACCTGTTCTCGGAAGAGATCCATTACGAAATAACCGCACACTGCTGTTAGCTAACGGTCGGAGCCTCATTATGTGCAACTTGCTCTGAGTGCACGTGTTAGGAAGAGGAGCCCCGGTCATTATTTGACTGTGAGATGCCAAGAACCAACAGCACGGAGATTTCTCAAGGCTATTTTCCTCACACTTTGTTTTCATAATCACGTTTTAATACTGAACACCACACTGTCGGTCAGCTGTGTATATTTCCTGTCGTCACTATATCAAATCCTCTCACGCCATCTACTCTAAAATTACACGTTGTAAGTTGCATTGCTTGTATGTGGACACTGGATTTATCGGCCATCAGTTAAATACTGCACGAGAAGTCGTCTCAGAGATAAATGAATAAGCTTAGCCTTTGAGCTAATCAATCAGTTTTTCTGACATTTTGTAATTTTTGATGTTACATCTAAGAAAAAAAATTAATGCTTGATAGACACAATGCAATGAAAAGCACAGCTAGTTAATAAGAATTGCGTTTTAATCAAAAGCTCTTGCTTTAGATGAGAAGTGCATTTAATCAGGTTTTGCAGGCTTTCTTTTTAATGAACAGAACTAATAACTGCAGACAATGAAGGAAACGGCTTGCTGAAAAAATGTTAGTACGTTTTTTTGTTTTTGTCTTTTTACACAGCAGTACTTCATGGACAAATCGGGAACTAGTGCAGAGATCAGGTTAATAAACTAAGTGTCCCAAGAGCTTTCACTAAGCTTCTGTACCAAATAAGTTTGAAGCTTTCTGGAGCAATGACTTCACTTATTTTTTTCATCTGTGAACCCAGAACAATATAAAGTGTTTAATAATCAAAGCTACTCACCTTTCATAGTGTTAAAGTGTGACAGTTTCCAGGAGAGAGCAGATCATATGGAGCTCTGCTGCCGCTTCAGGTTTCACTATATAACACGCTTGTTATATAGTGAAGGGGGCGGAGAAATTGGAAACTTTGGTGAAGCTGAGTGATTTTCCCTCTGCTTTGCCCCATAAGCGCGCGCGCGCGCGCACACACACACACACACACACACACACACACACACACACACACACACACACACATTCTCTGCCATCCATTTCTATTCAGACACCCCCAGACTGAAATGCACACACACTGCACACTAGAGGTCTGTGCTGTCTTACCGTGGTGGGATAATTACGTAACCTTTTGACGCGCACATTCTCCCAGGGTCTGTTCTGAGAGCAACTAGTACGGTGGAGACACTGGTTGGACTATGTGGACCATCAGCACACATGTTCAGTCATGTTTGTTACTGGGGCTGGTATGCAGAAATGCATCATGCTTAGAATGTGCAACTTTGAATCATCTGCTCAAACGAATCGTTCTAGTTGTTTCTGCTGTCTCTCTTCAGTATTTTTCTACTCCTGGGAATTAAAATATCCATCCTGCTTCATGAAGTCCCGGCTCCAAAAACACCATTAATTCAGACCACGAAAAAGGAGGCTTTATTCCCTCAATCCTTCTTCACAGTCCCAGAAGCCCATTCAGATTTTTTTTTTCCCACCACAGGGGTCCAGATCGGTCTAGTTCAAGGCATTTGTTATAAGGTCACAATGCAGAGGATCTGTGTGGAGGTGGAGACAGATTTAAGGACAGAGTTAAGATGTTCTTAACTCCACCCCCACCCCCACCAACCCACTAAACTCCATCTCCTTTGTTCCCCCACTGTTCCATCGTTTTAAAACGTATGCATTATCCATACAAATGAAGCCATCGGTGATTCCCTTTAGTTTCCTCTACTGTGACAAACTGAACACACAGGGCATCTGAAAAGTTGCAAATATGAGCATTGCATTGTAAGTAAAGTTTTTTCAACGTTACATCAAAAAAGAAAAATACAGAGTATGTAAAGTAGTCAGACAAACAGAGGAAAACACAGAAGAGAAACTTAGAAGTTCAAAAACTCGTCTAAAAAAATAGTTTAACTGCTGTTAACACGTACAGACAGGTATCAGTGGTTTCTAAGCTTTTTTTCGCCGCCCATAGGGCCCCTTTCCATAGATAAAAATGCAACTCTGACCTTCACCAAGGTGGAACCACTGCTTTAAATTATTACAACTACTTCATACGCTTCTGTAGCAACATGTGTAGACAAGCAAAACCAGGTAAAAGACACTGGAGAGCTCAGCAATGGGCTGCGTTTCCTCGTCTTTTTCTGCTGCTCCCTTAAGTGTGCAGCCACAAATCACAACTCTGATTATCCCCTGTGCCAGAGTTCTTACAGGTTGGAATTCTATATATAGGCTTTATTTTTTATTTCATTTAAAAAATAAAATAAAGCAAAACAAATAATCAACAAATGATATATCCTCGGTATATTTTAAATCTAATGTCAGTTTTGTTCATTTTTCAATCTCACAAAATCAATTCAGTTAGTTTTCTTTTTTTCAGAAGTGTAACTTTAATATATATTTTCATTAATTCAAAATGTTTTTTTATACAACGTTTTAGTTTTTAGTTTAGTTTTTGTTACCTGTAACAAGCTTGCTCTGTGCATTCTCCAGGGTCCATCTGGTCTCCACAGATCAAACAGAAGTGTGCTGGTTAAACCATATGTGTAAACACATCTTGTTTAATGCTTGCTGAGACTATAGGTTAAAATCAAATCCACAGCAGTTTGACTGGATTGGGCGACCTTTAAAATGTGTCGGTTAAGGTTAAAAAAAGATGTTATATAGCTATTTACAAAAACGTTTTTTTCCAAGAAGCATTGGGCCAGTCATAAAATACCCACAACTGTAATTCCAATTGATCCAAATGAACTCATTTACCCTCTCTAAAGCAACAAGACAGACATTATTAGGCAATTCACATCAATGTTTGACAGACAACTCTTGCCTCATCCATGATTTTAATGGTGAATAAAGGTGAATGCAAAGATCAAAGTGGCTGCAGAGCAAGGGAGCAAACATAGCAGTTGGTGACTTCCATATGTTTTAAAATAATGATTTTCATCAAAGTATAAAAAAACAACAAAATACCCCATCATATATTGAAATTATATCATTTTGTCTCACTAGTTTTAAGCCTCTCGAAATGAGTGGCTAGGTTTAAAATGGTTTTAAGTTTTTTGGATAACCCACCGATCATTGTCCAAAACACTACACTGGAACCTTCAACATGAAAATGTGTTAGTTTGTTAACTTGCAGAGGAGGAACTGCAACGAGAAAATTATAATCTTATAGACAACAGTGTTCTTTCCTCAGGAGCTGTACAGTTCCCTCCATTCATGGATAAAAATGATCTTGGTCTTTGTATCACACTTGATACCTTTTTAGTTAAATTAAAATACTGCTATATTTTCTGGAGTATGATAAGGACATAAGTAACACAACAACTGAAAACCTCAAACTTAAGAAAACATGTTGCCATAGTGGCCCGACATCTTATTCCGTTATAACACAAAGGACTTTACTGAATAAAAATGTGACGGGGAGAGAAAAACCTGTGCAGACATGCCCTGAAATATGCCTCCGGTTCTTTTACATATTCTTTAATTCTAAATAACCGTTGAATGGAAAATACCCACAAGTGGGAAAAGCCCCGCCCAAGCATAATTTCTGATGTAATTTTTTTTTAATCAGGCCTCCTTGAGTCGCATACACCCTACAAGAAGGCCTGCCTAAGAAGAATTGAGCTACTCCTCAGCCTATCCATCTCCAATCTGTTGTATAAAGTGTACTAGTGTACTTTAAAAATGTCTTGAGCCACCCCTCCTCTTAAAATACTTTCCTGCGAAACTGTTGCAGAGACTTGTTGAAAATTGCAAAGATACATGCAAAAATTCTATTTTTTTTTTTTTAGAATTCTATTTTTTTTTATTTTATACTTTTTCAACATGTTCAAAATAAAGATTCAATCAATCAATCAATCAATCAAAACAGTACATAAGGTCATAGAGCTTAACAGACTTTGTACAGTTCTGACAAGCATGAAAGTCAATATTGGGAATGATCACCTTAGGCACACTTTCCTGCAAAAGTAGTCCGCAGGAATAGTTCTATAGGCATCTTGAGGGGCATTAAAAGATCTTCTTTGGTTGTGGGCTTATTCTGTTCTCTGTCAATATCTCATGATCTCATGCTGCTTCAATAATTGAGGGCTTTGGGGAGGCTAATAGAACATAGAAATCAGATTTGGGAAGAAGACGACAAAACAAATATGTATGTACTATTTCTTAAGGTGTCATAGTGTGTGTTTTTCTATCCAGATATACTTTTAGTGCCCTGACAGTCATTTTGACAAGCTCCCTAACACCATTTCTGAAATGCACCTCAAAACCACGACAGAACTTCCACGATGTAATACAGATGACTGTACACGCTCACTGCTGTATCTCTCTAATGACCTCCTGTGTACATGTTTACAATGACTACTGACAGGGACTAGAAAGAGAGAGTACATTTCTCCTATATTGGCTTCCCTTCATTGGCTTCCTGTCAAATCCAGAATTGAATTCAAAATCCTGCTACTTACATACAAGGTCTTAAATAATCAGGCCCCATCTTATCTTAATGACCTTGTAGTACCATTTCACCCTATTAGAGCACTTCGCTCTCGCACTGCAGGCCTACTTGTTGTTCCTAGAGTATTTTAAAGTAGAATGGGAGGCAGAGCCTTCAGTTTTCTTCTGTGGAACCAGCTTCCAGTTTGGATTCGGGAGACAGACACTATTTCTACTTTTAAGCTTAGGCTTAAAACTTTCCTTTTTGCTAAAGTATAGTTAGAGCTGGATCAGGTGACCGTGAATCCTCCCTTAGTTATGCTACAATAGGTGTAGGCTGCTGGGGGATTCCCATGATGCATGTATTTCTTCTTCAGTCACCTTTCTCACTCGCTATGTATTAACAGACCTCTCTGCATTGAATCATACTTGTTATTAACCTCTGTCTCTCTCCCACAGCATGTCTTTTATCCTGTTTTCCTTCTCTCACCCCAACTGGTCACGGCAGATGGCCGCCCCTCACTGGGCCAAAGTACTTGTTTAAAGGGGGGTCATATGATTGCTGGGTTTTTCTCTCTATGTATTATTGTAGGTTCTACCCTACAATATAAAGTGTATTCTTCACTCTATAATAAATGTTGCCACTGATTTTCAGTTACTGGTCATTGGATTGGTTCTTATAGTGCTTTTCCTCTTGAGCACTCAAAGCATTTTACACACCACGGCTCACTCACACAACCACCACAATCATATAGTTGGTTGAGTTTAATTTATAATCACCTCTGTCAATCCTTGATATTTATTATTCACCTTTGTCAGTCCTTGATCCTTGATAATTTAATATTAAGTGATTTGTATATATTGTGCTATTTCTTAAATCTGTAACATATTGTATTGTTTCTGTTACTGTACTGGAGCAACTGCACCCACATAATTTCCTTAGGGATTAATAAAGTATGCTAATTCTGATTCTGATTGATAAGAATGGCTTCTTGACAGCCGCTCTTCCGCTGAGAACATTTTTGATGAGACTTGATAAAAACTGAAGGGCCAGATGCATCTCTCAGGTCTTATGTCAGGCATTTGCTTGATATTTTCCTATTCATGAAGACATGACTTTTAGACAGATTTTTGCTGCCAATAGTTTTTTTAGGCCTGGTTTTTCTTTTGTCCTCTCCTCACCCAGTTTCCTCAGATTTTCTAAGGACACAGCGCACGGCATGGTGAGACATGCCAAATGTTTTGCCAATAGCTCTTTGGCTATCATTGTATTGGTGCAAAAATAGTATTTCATTTTTTGTCGTTAGTACTATTGTATTGTGCTATCACTGGCATTTTTCAAATACACGAACAAATCATGAATTTTTGTGACAGGCTACTAGTAACAAAGTGCCCAAAGATACATTCCTGTGAAAATGGTACTGGACTAAAATGATTTTAAATTATTCAATATCCAAAGAAAAACTTTGAAAGACCTGCAGAAAGTTTGGAGAACTATTGCTCAAGACCACTTTAAAAAATTTGAAAAAAATGTCTGGCTCCTTGGATGCAAATCTAAAGAAATGAAGGGTGGCTCAAGATCTTAGTCTTAAATGCAGCTGCTGTTTATGCTGGTGAAATTAACAATGAATTATGGGCCTGTTAGACTTCTTTTAATCCACTGTGAGCTAGAGACCTCTAGTGTTTAGAGTGGAAAATGTACCAAACTGGTAGCAAACTAAACTAAGCTGGTTCAACAAATGTGTGAACTTTTATTTCTCTGTTATTTATTCCATCTTTCTTAAAAATCAAGTACATCACGTAAAAGTTACAAAGGTCAGTATTCATCATGAAAGGGGTACTCCGGATGATCACTCCACCTGAGTTTTAAAAAAAAGTGTTTACTACCATTAATATCGAGGATTTGGTTCATGCATTATACAACAAAAAAATGTTTAGATATTTGTCCGTCAAAGCTTGTACTTACATCAGCAACTCAACAAACCGAATATTTTTGTTCAGTGCTTCAATGGCTTTCATTTCTTCCTCAGTCAGTGAAAAATCAAATATCTGAAAAAAATAATTTGCTTCTGTTTAAATTCATCCATTCATTATTTCATTCATTCAACTGTTTAACCCTTACATACTGTATATATTTCATGTCTTTGCATTATGATATGCCAGGATTCCTAAGTGTCTACAACAAAGTCTGAACTACAGATCTATTTAGAGTGTATAAATAGTCTAGCTGACATTAATGGAGGATTAATTTTTAATTAATGTTTCAAAGAGCAGGGAGAAAAATAAATATTATGCACAATCTCGTGCTCTGATTTACTTTAGACATGAAAATAATAGCGATAACGATTTCATGAGATTTTATTAAAGGTGAAAATGGCAAAACCATTCTGGAACTGGTTGGATTTATTGCATAACCATGTATAATCACTACAAACATTAAAGGCTGTCCTCATGTCTTTGTGAATTCAATATTATTTTAAACTTAGAGTAAAAAACTTGCTTATTGCAAAATAGTCTGAGCATTCAAAGCATTGCCTGTGCAGCATTTGCACGTTTCTTACATTTACTGAAATGGCAGATCAGGTGACTTTATAATCTTATGACCTCTAATTCCTCTTTTGATCCCTGTTTCGATCTCTTTTTAATTTCACTTAGCTCAGACAAAATGGGTCCTAATTAGTTTATTGTTCGATTATTTTCTTACATAATGCTTACTTTTGTTTACAGGTGCAAAGCACAAGCACCAGTCAGTGTAGGCTAATAATATAATTACACTTATAACTAAACTTGTTGCAAAACCTACGGATATTTGTGTTTGGTGGATTATTTGTTTGTTGTAACAATGCTTCTTGGCAATAAATCTCACACTGTTGCAAGGCCTGTTTATTTCCCTTGAATGTGCCACATGTGTAAGGAAAATGCATTTGGGGCTTAAACAGCAGAGTTGAGGATGTGGGCTGCGCATCAGCCTACAAAAACTTGTAGCACCTGCTCAAAAGTATAACATTTTAAAATAGTTTTAATTTTGGGTCATTTTAGGGAACATCATCAAATTTCAGGCCAGAAAGGTGGCATTTTGGGTATATTTACTGTTCTCCAATGTCAAAATGGTCAAATATAACCAAAAATGCATGTAAGAGTTAAAACCGGGCAGCAATGGTACCATAACTTTGACTTTACGTGCACATAGAGTTAAAAATGTTGGTACAGTACCTGGAAGTTATGTTTGATCCGCTCAGGGTTGAAGCTCTTTGGGATCACTACAACTCCTCTCTGTATGTTGAAGCGCAGGGCCACCTGGGCACTACTTTTGTTGTATTTTTTCCCAATGGATACAAGCACCTCATCGTCCAGCAGAGGAGGACATTTCAAATTCACCCTATAAAAGAGACACAGTTAAATACGCACCATGTCATTTACCAAATGAATTCTGCTTAGGGTCACGTTGAGGGTTTGGTAACAACAATAATTTGTTTTTATTTTTGCAGTCTCACATTAATGCAGTAACAGGGGGGATAAAATCACAATGACCTCACACCAGCCTACATAAGTGTATATATTTTCAAACCTACCAAGATGCATCTCTGGAGGAGCCAATTGGGCAATAGCCAACAATCACGATGTCATTGTGACGACAGTACTCCAGAAGTTTTGGTTGTGTGAAATATGGGTGGCATTCGACCTAAAGGTAAATAAGAAGAAGGGAAAAAGATGACAGGGCTCAGTCTTACAAGTAGGAAGGAAACTGGATGGGAATCAAAAGTAAAATCTATTCCATTTAATCTAGATTAATGAAAGAAAATGTATTTCAGCATAGTGTTTGACTATTTTTTGGCAGAGAGTCTATTTTAGAAATGCCTTCATATTAAAAACCCAGAATACTAATGTATGCCGTACAGTACTTTTTTACTTTGTAAACTACCCTCATTGAGATGTCATTAGGGGTCAGGAAACAAACTGGGATCACCTGGTTGGATACGGGTTTGTGTTTGAGACCAGGTTTATTCAGAAGCAGCTCCAGCTGCCTGCGATTGAAGTTGGAGACTCCCAGGGACTTAACCAGTCCAGCATCTTTGCAAGCCTCTAAAGCCTGACAGAAGAAAATATTAATATCTTATCAAAGATTGATAGTAGTAATCTTTACAGGCTAACTGAGATAGCCAAGAAAAATACAAGACACAAGGAAAAAAAACTGTTTATGACACTGTCCTTGAGAGTAATGTGCTGCAGAAAAAAACACTCTGACCAGTATTAACATGTAAGAACACTTGAATAAGATAAAACAATGCCTACCTAATATTTTATTAGATGCATGCAGTACAAATGCAAGTACAAAAGTCGTGAGCCATCTCCCTTTTAAAGAAATATTTTGCAAAATGGAAAATAGGTGCAGACTAACCAAAATATAAAATTATACATATAACAAAATAGAGTTTTTAGAATTCTAACAAGCTTGAAAGTTTATTAGACATGCCCAATTTTATTCTTTAACACAGTCTGCAACTCCTTTAAGTAGTCTTCAAGAATAGTTCTCCAGGCTGCTAGAAGGATATTCAAAGCTCTTCTTTCAGTGTTGACTGCATTTTGTTCCATTCTGTCAAGATGATCCAACACTGCTTCAATAACATTGTGATCTGGGGTCACGGAAGGCCAATCAATGAGTGATAACCATTCGGTTCTACATTCCACTTTTTGACAGAATCACCGACACCACTGGCCGAAATGCAGAAATGAAAACCACCCAATGACTTAAGAATAATAGCTTGGAGAACTGGTTCTCAAGACCTCTTAAACATCACATGGAAGTCTGGCTCCTAAAATCAAAGTATAAAGAACTTAGAGGTGGCTCAAGAGCTCAATCGTTAGATTTCATTTGTAGTGACGGCTTTATGATGTCGCTACAAAGGTTGTGTTAAGTTCTGCTCGTTGATTTTAATATTTTCTGCCTATGATAACATAACTACATGAAGAATGAAATCCTTGATGTGCTGATCGGGATTCATTCATTCAAGCCCTGCAATGAAGTCATGCTTAGCTTGACATGTGGAGGAAAAGCATATTCTCATGCAAGCTGCTAATACAAATGTAAAAAAGTATTTCAATTTACATAACAAAACAACAGATTTTTAATTTCATAGTGATATTATATTAGAGATGAGCAGTAGACATGCAAAGACTTTACATAGTATGACCATTGTTTTAATAGAGCTCACCTCCCATGTTGCACAGAGATCTGTGTGGTGGTAGATGTAGTTTCCATCTTGGTCCTTTGGATAAAAGGCCTTTCCAGGCTAAAATATATGCATAATTAAATACTTTGCATTAAAAGTGGTTATTTAAGCATATAATTTATAGTGACCTAAGGTGACACAATGTGTTCATGGTCAAAACGCTTAAACAAAGAAACATACTGATTCCAGGTACCCAATCTTAACACCTGTCTACATAATCTTATCTGATTCTAATGTGTGTAATGTGGCAACGGCCAGATTTGAAGTATTTGCTATGCAGCTCTTGTGTTTGAACCCCTATTATCTAATTTTGCATAAATAATTAAAAATACTTTGCTGTAAAAATTAGTAAAATTATTTTTTAGAAACCTTGAAGGCCATTGGAAGCTCAATGATGTAGAGATCCACATAGTCCAGTTTTAAGGCTTTCAATGTCTTCTCTAAGGCTGGTCTCACCAACTCTGGTGGATGGAAGGTATTCCAGAGCTGAGAAAAATAACATTGCTAAATTTAAAAAACAATTTAAACAACCTGAACATCCAGGCAACAGACCATTGCAATAACATGATTAATTCTTATAGGTTTATAGGAATGAAAGTTGATTAAACAAAAGCTAACAAATATTACCTTTCCGCAGTAAAAGATGTCCTCTCTTCTAACGGTTCCATCAGCTATCTTCTCCCTAATGGCTTGACCCACTTCATGCTCGTTGAAATATACCAACGCCCCATCAAAGTGCCTGTAGCCCACATCTATGGCCAGCTTGACACAGTCCAATGCAGTGCCTCTGGGTGTCTTTAAAAAAAATCACAGAAAATATACATTTTATTTGATTTTTTTTTAAGCTACAGCCACAGTGTGTACTTCTCAGTGAAACTCAAATCACTAAAGGTAAACAAGCCTCGCATAAACGGGGAATCAAACACAGCACTCTAAATCTAGAAATAGAGAGACTACGTGATATTTTCCTCACCGTTTGAGGGTCCCCATAGGTGCCCAGTCCCAGGAGTGGAATACTGTTACCATTACTCAAAGGGATTCTGTGGCTTTCCGCTGTTAGATTCATGTTTGTGCCAAAATGTGGACAATTGAACTGCAGCGCACTTCTCTCAAGGCTAACCCATAGATTGGCCATGAACCTTGAACCATGAAGACATTATCTTCCACTCAATTGCACAAGTGACTTTGATCTGAACCAGAGCAGTGTGTCCATTTTTAAAACAGTTCTTCACCAGCTTTTCAGAATGCCATTTAACTTGAGAACAAAACACTCTTATAATCATAATCAAATGTGAATATGACACCAGCACTTTGTGAGTATCTTTTCAGCAAACAGTGTTACAACGTTACAAAAAAATGTCCATAGGCCTGGCTGAAGCCTGAAGCCAACAAAACCTAATACATTTGAATTTCACACAGCCTATCATGAAGTGCCATAAATAAATAACGTCACCAGAAGCATAACACAGTATTACTGTACTGAACTGAACCCTGTGTAAAGTTTCAGAATAACAAGAATCAGGCAAACTCTTGCTGCTCAGTGGACTTTGTCCTCCTGATAGCACAGCACACGCAGCCAGTGGCTCTCAAGATTTTGACCCCGCCCCACTCTTACCTCAACGAGCGCGTGCGCTCTAATTTGACCAACAACATCTGGGGCACACGAGCATGCGACACAGGTACCCTTTTTTTTCTTTAGTGCTTCCTGTTTGCTGCAACAGTCCAAAAAATTATTTTCCCCAAAATATCACACGTAGACAATAATACCCTCGACGCTTACAAATGCTGAACTGATAGAGAGCGCGCGGAGGACAACGCAGGTACGAAGTAGGCGCTCTCTTCGGCTAGAGAGCAATGACATATAGCCTACGCTTCAGACTACCCTCCCTGTACGTGCCGTTGAATCAGAGTAAACTAGACTTGGAGAACAGAAACTGTTTCCGATGGATGCGATGGAAAAACAGGAGTCGGGACATACTGCTGTCCTGTCAGTCGAGAACGAAGCAGAGAGCACGCGAGAGGAGCGGTCCGGTGCACTCGACCAACATGACCTGGACACGTGCCCCGTTTGTCATCTAAGCTTCCATAGCAAGGAGCCCAAACTTCTGCCGTGCCTGCACACTTTCTGCGAGAGGTGCTTGCCTTTACCGTCGAGGAATCTGGACGTGACGGAACCGTCCGTCTCCCAGAGCGACGACGGCGCGACCAAACCACGTGAGTCACTTTGTTTACAAACACAGATCAAGGACCGATTAATGGCTGTCAACCTTTTCTACAACCAGAGCAGCTGCACGCACAACTGCATACATTTTACAAATGCTTGTAGCTACCTCTAACCATAATCACCCAAATGTCTAAATGTCATAAAAAATATAATCTGATGGTAAATAATACCAGAAATGTACAGTTTTACTGATTTACACCAACACCTATGCTCCTGCTTGATTCCAGTAAACGTGATCCGCTGTCCGGTGTGCAGGCAGGAATGTATGGCGGCAGATGTGGTGGATAATATGTTCGTGAAGGAGTCATTCGAGGCTCCCAGCAGCACGGTGGAGAGAGCAGTCCAGGTTGGTAACAAATGAATTAATATCAATTTGGGGACAGGCTGGGTTTTTGAGGGTAATTATCAAAATATAACTACGTAAGTTTTACTTGTATTTTTTATTTGTCATTGGCCATGCAGAAAAAAACATTGCTCTTGTAAGAATCAGAATAAGGCACTAGATGAGTTCCATTTGCAGTGATTTAATGGGCAGGTGCACACTATATTAAAGGAGATATCTGTAAAAACAAAGCTACCTTGTCTTCTGTTGGTTTGTAGCTCTGAAATCTGGGCAGCAGAAGCAATGCTTGTCAGTAGAAACTTCACTGATATCAACTTAGCAGATAAGGGTCATCATTGCATTCCCTTGATTGAACAAGAAATGGTAAAACATGTGCCGAGCCATCATCTCCACGTCATGTTTCCAAATATTTATTAACTTTTGATGCTTGACTCCTCTTTCTATAGCTCTGTATGACCTGCAATGACAACACAGAAGCTGCTGGGTTTTGTGTTGAGTGTGTGGAGTACTTGTGTACCACCTGTGTGGAGGCCCACCAAAGAGTCAAATTCACCAAAGACCATATGATCAGACAGAAGTCAGAAGTATCACAAGGTACTCAAACCTACCTGCTCATTTAGCTGTTTTAAAAAAATTAAATGCCTGTGCTGACGTATCATGTGATTCTTGCTACCGCAATATTTTAATGGGCAAAATGATAAGTATACATCAGTATGCACTGCATGCTTTTTATACTGTAAGAATTAGTTTAAAAATAACTATGGTGAGCCTTTTGCTGTTTTCCAGACGTTTGTGTTGTGTCGAATCAGAGGCCGATGTTCTGTCATATCCACAAACAAGAGCCACTGAAACTCTTTTGTGAGACATGTGACCTGCTTACCTGTCGGGACTGCCAACTCACCAAGCATAAAGACCACAGGTACCGCATTGTTTCAGTAATATTGATTGACAGAAGTGGGAATCACCAGGCACCCCTCGAAATGATATCACAATACATTATTATTGCAATTTTTTTTCACCACTGTTCATGGATTGATTTGATTGATACTGTGATCTCTCCATGTGATGCATTTGAGGCGGAGAAAAAAATTCACTGAGAGATTAAGTTACACCCCCACCCCCCAGTTCATTATGCATATTATGCATATTAACCTGTCTGTATTAACTCACTAATGTTTTTGAATTAGTTATCAGTTCCTTGAAGATGCTTATAAAAACCACAAAGAGCACATGGAGCATATGACTCATCAGTTACAGGAGAAAAAGAAACTGATAGAAGAGGTATCAGACTCCATAAATAGTGGGTATGTATTTCATTTTTCCTTAAAGATGTCTAGTTAAAAAAAAGTCACTTCTTCCATATTAATAATTGTATATTTTGTTCTTAGTCACACTTTAAATGTATGTTTTTCAGACTTCTTCTGGTGGAACAGAACCGTACTTCTGTATGTGATGAAATAAAGAAATCTGTCAGCAGTTTAATCCTCGCGATAAACAAAAAGGGCAAAATTCTACTTGATCAACTTGAGGTATGACAAAGACGATTACATGCAGCAAAACAATACTGTGTAGTAAAACTATCATGGACTAGTTTTACTCTGTAGTCCTGTAGCTTGCTGTGGAGTTGTTTCCAGAAGAATGTTATTTGTATGGTGAGTTTCGTGTGGCCTCGAGGCTCAGAGTGCCGCCACTCAAGCTGCTTTAACACTGCACTCCTCTTTTTCGTTTTCTTTTTTTGCAGGCTGTTACAAAAGATCATGAGAGTCTCTTGCGTAAACAACAGGAAGACATTGGCTATCTCTCCCAACACCTGGATCATGTCATCGACTTCATCAAATGGGCCACAGCCAAGAATGGGGGCACGGCCCTCTTGTACTGTAAACGTTTGGTGAGGCCTCTTTAATCAATTAACCATAAAGCAGTATCTTGTCACAGTCTTGTTTTCCTGATCTCAGGTTGTCTTTAAGCCTAGTATGTCTCGGATGTGATGAAGCGCAAGCATATGGCTTTTGCAGCATGCATGTTCCTCCTCTGAAAATGACTGATAACATTCCTTCTGTTTGCAGATTCTGTTTCAGATCGAAAACCTCCTTCAGGCAAAATGCAGTGCTTCATTCGTACCGCAGAGCACCATACGCTTCCAGTGCCGAGCCTCTTACTGGGCCTCAAATGTTGATTTGGGTAAGAGATTAACAAATGATGTGATCCACAGCCCTGAGAATGAATGGATTATTTGTTTTCTGCTCCAGTAAACTTGTATACCTTGAAATTTTATTTCAATTTTACTTAATAATTTTAGGGGCATTCTTCCATAAGATTGTATCTGTGGTGGTGATCTAAGTGAGACTTGCACAGTATTAATAAACAGGCATGAGGAGAGTCAGATGGTCACGGGGAGTTAGCTGGAGGCCAGTAAAACTTGGATGACAAATCCTATTATTTATTAATGCATTTGCACTTCTCTCTCACACAATGTCAGTTTTACTCTGACTGTTTTGAACTACCTTCATTTTTACTGTTAATTGTTTGTTTTTTTATCACTGTTGTAAATATATAAATTCCTGGACTATCTCACACTATAAGCCTCCTTACTAGGCACCTGTGGCATTTTATTTAATTGTGTTGTTTACATGGTATGTACTGTACTGTTTTTACTCTTCATCATGCTGCTGTAACACACAAATTTCCCTTGTGGGATCAATAACGTATCTATCTATCTAAATGAAGGATTCATTGAGAGCAGAGCTCAGCATTAAATGAAAATCCTTGTCTAGCTGTTTATTAGGGGTGCAACGATATTCGTATCGATATTGAACCGTTCAATACAGTGCTTTCGGTTCGGTACGCATATGTATCGAACAATACAACATTTGTAATTTATTTTATCAACTTTCCTTCTGACGATGCTGTCTGTGTGGAGCGCTCAGTGAATCTGCGTTCGACTACTCCGCCTAGGCTGCACTGTCGAGCGCAGATCCACTGAGCGCTCCACACAGACAGCATAGTCAGAAGGAAGAGCGCAGGGCAAGCTAGCGAGACAGAAGTTAAGCTCTCCTTGCAACATGGCAAATTGAACCTCCCCCACCCTCATTCAGATCTGGCGTTTGGAATTATTTTGGTTTTCATGTGACGTATGACCCTGAAGGTAAGCGCGTCATGGACTAAAGTAAAACAGTATGCTGGATGTGCCACGCAATGCTCAATTACATGGGTGGGAGCTAGTGTGTTAGTGCAGTTAGCTCGTTAACGTGTTGGCCATCTAGCCCCACGCAGGATAGCTCGTTAACGGAGATTTGCCGTGTTGTGGCGTTAACGTCATTTCAACGAGATTAACGCTGACAGCACTAGTGGGAACACAACGAATATGACTGCACATTTACGCCGACATCATCCTAGTGCAAAGACAAGTGGAAGCAGACAAAAACAACAAGCATGCATGCTACAAACTTTACCCGAGTCATTTAGACAGCCGTTAGCACATGATTCTCCTTATGGGGACCTGATATGTTTAATATTGTGGCGAGCTCAGACAATGAGGAGACGGAGGTATCGTTTGGTCTTGCTTCCCGTGAGCTAGCCAGGGAGCACAGCCGTTTATTGACATCTGCAGAAGAACACTGCCGCTAGCTAACTGCTCAGCGCGGCAACCGCACAGCAACAACAACAACAACACACAGGGCGCCCTCTGACCCCGGAAGGACACACCGTTGCAGTGAGAGGGCGTCACCCGTCACTATGGCAACATAAACAAAACATAACTGTACAAACAGAACCCCGAACAGCCCTGACCCGCTATAATATGCTGCTGAGAATATAGCCCAGAAGAAGCGTATAGTATAGCTTTTATTTTGGAAAGAGCCATTTCTCTGTAATAAACTCTCTTTTCCAAAGATGAGTGATTCCTCAATCAGATTATTTATTTTTTTAAATTACTTTTGTTTCAGCAACATTAAATTTAAAAACTGTACTTTTGAGTTAAAATATATATTTATAATTTTAATAAATGACAAATTAAAAAGGCATGAA